TAATTGAAAAAAAATATATAAATAATACTTCTGCTTTGTGCATAAACACTATAATATTTTGCTGCCCTATAAAAGGAAGGAAAAGAATGAAGTGAGTTAGTTACTGTATTTTTAAAAGAAATGGTTAAAATAATATTTTAAAAATAAGTACGGCTCATCACACTTTTCAGTGCTCTGCATTAGTTTCAAATGTACAATACAAAGAATTAAGGAAAACCAAATAAGATAATTCTATTTATCATTCTCCCACAGAATACACTGCTTTCAGCATAGTACATTTCAGAACAAAAGATTAAGCAAATAAAGTATTATACTCATATGGAAAGACTATCTTAGATGGTATCAAAGTTAGCGTTTTCATCTGACTCTTCTTTTTCCAGGCTAAAGTAGAAAAACCAACTTCTTAAACAAAACGTGTCTAAAATTCTTTACCTTCCCTTAAAACATCTGTGTAACAATAATTGGAAAAAAAAAAAAACCCAAACAAACAAAACAAACAAGCAACGAAACACAAAACCCACAGAAAAACTCCAAACATTTGGCTAAAGCAAATATGGTACAGCATGCACAGATAAAATACTAGTCTTGAATCAGATGTGATCTTGAAAGTTCAACATGTCATCTACATCAGATATAGAAAGTCGTTATATAATACAGTGTTTTACTATTCAGTCTATGAAAATGAAGTGCAGCAAGAGAGAAAATTTATATGTGGAAGATTTTGTAAGAATAAAATATGTCATTTGTACCTCTTAAAAAGCTTATCTAAATGTCTTCAAATGAACAGTATTTGCCTATAAATCCTATCTGCCCTCCTGATAAAACAAGTTTCAAACTGATAAAATCTCCTTAATGTCAACAAATTTATTGCTTGTTGACTTATTGCTATGAGACAAGAATGATACCTAAGATAAAAATTTCAATATTTATGCACCTTTTTCATGGCTTTTGTTTTTGATACACATTTCACAAAGAAGTCTCAAATTTTTAATCCACCAACTTTTTCATGATATTGAATTAATGTTTTATCTTACAAGAAATACATTTTTAATAGCCTACTAATATCCATTCATCCAGATTTTCTGGAACATATATATAGAGATAACACTTCTATCAATTCTTTCACTAAAATGCTATCTAATATCACAGCAACAAGTCAATGCAAAATATAATTCAAATTTTATTAGCAACATTTTCATTGTACTGCCTCATCATAAAGTCAAGCTAACTATGAATAAAGTGCATGCCCTATAAATAAGCTTCTCCTAGTCTTAGCTTAGGTATTTTCAGTTATGATAGCATCAAAACCAAATATACAAAAATCCAGCATACTACAAAGTTGAGAAACACTTATGTTTTTCAATTATACAATATGTACATTAAAATTTGTAACATACCATATTGTATTTTGCACTGAATTCTTTTACAGCATATATAGAATTTTTGATTTCTTTAGAATTTCATTCAGTTCAATGACATTAAACCAAAAGACGTTCTATGGAAAAAATAAAAAATTATTAGGTGCTGACCTATTCTAAAGATAACATAAAAGCAGGATATTGAAAAAAACATTTAGCCCACCCATATACTAAATAATCCTATGAAAACACAAACATCTCAATTTCTGTATATACTTATATACATATTAACATATATAAATACACACAGACACTGAAATGTTTTTTGTATATATGCATAGACAACTCTTAAGTCAGGATGCCTCAAAGTAATTTCTAAATGTAGTTCAAACTATTTGGCAGCTCTGAGGTGCCCATTTTAGTTTTCCGATCAGAAAAAGAAGGAAATCACTCTTAGATCTGCTTTTCTATTTGGGATCTAGATATAAAATGTATTAAATGAGTGATAAATATAGGGAACATTCAGGACATTCAGATTCAGATATTTGTGAAATATGGTCAAGGTAGTTTTTTTTTTTAATTGTTTTTTTATTTATTTTTTTGTAATTAGCAATCCAAAAATGCAGGGTAGTAAAAAAGAAACAGTCACACAGGAAAACTCTACAGAACTGTAAATCTTTTACTGCATGGCACGGGTTTCATGATTATGATTTTGTGCCACATACTATCGAAAATGTTCACCTGTCTCCTCTGAATTAAGACATACTAGAAATTTTTTTTTGAGATTTTGACAACTGTGATTTGCCAGTTTCTGCTTGGTTTCATAACTGATGTGCATAGTTCTAACCAAGTTAAGCATAAGCACTTCTGTAAGTTTAAGAGAAGAACCTAGAAACATAAGAAAGTACAGAAATACACTCTCATAACCATAAGTGTGATTGCAGAAGTAACTAGAACATTTAATTTTAGGGCAGCACTGTATCACATGCAGTATCATAGCTACACATGCAACATATGAAAATCCAGGTTAATGTAATATGGATAGGATTACCCTAAAGGATTGGTGTAATATAATCAAATAATGGTTTAATTCAGCCACAAAATTAAGAAGGAAATGCTCTGTACACAACAAGAACGATTTTCTCAACAAGAAGCTTTCTCACTTGACATCACAAAAGTTCATTTGGTTCACCACTAACAGCTCTGGTTGTTTGACAAAATTATCTGTCTAGTCAGAAGAAAGAGAATCACCTCCTCCTCCATATCCAGCCACTCCTACGTTGTCCAGGAATATTTCTGTCCTTAGCCATACAAACAATCTACAAATTACAATGCATTTCAGAAAATATGTCTTGGATTTGGTATATTAACATACACTTGGTTGCTTTTGAAATAAATAAAAGTACCCTTTTCTAAATATCTGTTTTAGGAACATCAGATTGTGCTTCCTAACTTACTACTTTCTTAAATCATTTTAGTATAGGAATATATCAATTGCATCATAGAATCACAGAACAGTTTGAGTTAGAAGGGACCTTAAAGATGATCTAGTTCCAGCTGTCCTGCCATGGGCAGGGGCACCACCCACTAGACCAGGTTGCTCAAAGCCCCATCCAACCTAGTCTTGAACACGTCCAGTGTTGAAGCATCTACAACCTTCCTGTGCAGCCTGTTCCAGAGTCTCACCACCCTCAAGGAGAAAAGCTTATCCTAATTTCTAACCTAAATTTATCCATCCATTAGCCTTCATCTTATCACTACTATCTATAAAAAGAGCTGTATCCTTTCAAATATAACCCCTGCCAGGGTGAGTATTTCACCTATTAACATACAGGACATCTTTAAAAAATTTACATGTACTAAAAAAGTCAGACAATATGCACAATCTATTTTATACTAAAATATTCCAATCACAGTTCAGTTTTAGCACAACATAAATACATTTGTCTGCAATTTTGCTTAAAAAGTAAGTAACATCCTGCTCTTTCTTAAATGAATGGCAACATTTACATTATTTTCAGATATTCTATGGTAACATTCCTGTATTTGTGACAATTGATTGAAAATGCTATTTAAAAATGGAGATAATTACTTTAAAAAGTCAAATGTATTTAGATTTATTTTTTTTTTAAACTTAGGTCATATTAATCTTGCTACCAATTTGTAACTCTCCATCTGTTTCCTGCCTTTATTTGATTTTCCCTCGTTTATATAATGGAATATCAACTCTTTATGGCAAGTAGTTGTGGTGTATACTAACAGTATTTAACATATTAGGCTATGGCCCTCTATGTGACAGTAAAATATGAAATAATGGAAATATATATTTTTTCTGTTGAAGCCTAAAATCCGTAAGGACAATAAGTTAGAAGGTATAAAATGATAACACAAAATCCTTGGTCTCAACTCCAGTTATATAAACAGATATTGAAAAAGCAAAGATTATTTGGTTTTGTTAAATGCACCACTGCTATTTTTTTTAAAGCACTCAGGGAAACTGGACAGTGCTCTTAATCCCCTTTACAGATACAAGGTTCAAAAAGTGATTTGGATGCAGAAGTGAGAAACCTAACTGCTACCCAAAATAAGTGTTCTGAGCTTTCCAATAAAGGTATATTTGACTACGCAGAAAGGTGAAGTTTCCAGGTTTGTGTGGATGCTCCTGGCTATATTGAAATTCACGCCACAAAAAAGGGGAGCGAGTATCTAAAGCAATTATGACCATAGGCTTAACATACAAATGCAGTACAGGCACCACTCTCATCCTATTTGTGTTAGTATAAATAAATTCAAAATCAAGGTCAGAAATTATAATACTTCTCTCCTGAAAATGAATTAAACTATAACAGAAATGTAAAAAAACCCAAGTGATTTCACTGCACATGTTTTCACTAATACATAATGTTTCTGAAAGCCTTGACGAAGGTGCAACAGTCCAAGAAACCATTGTGCTTAAGAAGGGCTCAAACTGGAGAGAAGTTTTTTGCTCTCAGTTTCCAATAAAGTCAACAGAGATTTGATGCAACTCTGCACTTCAGAGGAGTATGTTCAGTACCTGAGGGATCTCTGCTACCACGTCCAGAGAAGACAATTCATATTGTTTTAACTTAGCTTTACCAGCTCACATTCACCCTTGCAGGCTGCAAAATCCTAGACTCCTAAACTCTGTATCAGACAATTCCCCAATCCTTTTTTCATTTCTTGACCACTTACTTGCATAACTCCATGCTGCATTCATCTATCACACATCAGCATCGCCTAAAAGCCCTCTGATTTACCAAACTGCAAGTCCTGGCTCAATTCTAGGAGCTGAATAATATCTACTGTGGAATGCCAGTTGTTCAGTGATTACGCTATGCCACTTCTCACTCCCTCCCTTATATTGCAAGGGGACAATCTGCACTGAGCAGCTATCAGTGTGTATCAACACATGCAAAGTATCTTCATGGGAAGCAGAACCATGACCACACCTGCGCTGCTTACCCACATAACACCTCAGGTCCTGTCTCACCAATCCTCACTCCCACTCATCTCATGGAAACACCTCCATCTACCTACAGCAAAGTTCCCAATCATTTCCCTTTTCTATTACCTTATTTCCTTGCCCTTCTCTCTGATGATATGTGCTCTGGTTATATTCTG